CAGCACCAGCACCATCTGTGCACCAGCAGCACCAGCACCATCTGTGCACCAGCAGCACCAGCACCATCTGTGCACCAGCAGCACCAGCACCATCTGTGCACCAGCAGCACCAACACCATCTGTGCACCAGCAGCACCAGCACATCAGCCGACTGGTAGGTCTGAAACTCATTTTAATTTCCTCAAATTTTGCGTTTAAGTCTTAATTTTTTCCTTACATATAAAAACATTCATTTTTCAATTTAATATATAATTAAAAACATAAATTTCTCTAATAGTCAATTCATAAGAAATAAATTGAATATTTCAATTCAATTGTAGTCCATTAAAATTATTTAATGACATTTTGGAATATAATAATATAGAATATTTTTTCGTAAATGATGAGCTATAGATATATTTATTTGTTTTATATAAATATATTGAGAGATTTTTATATTAATTGTTTTAGGCACTGTGGTTAATGAATTTAATTTATATAAGTGCACCCTATCGATGGTGCAATAATTGGGTACAATGTGCACAATATATTTGTAGAATGACAGAGTTTTAAAATGTGTAAAAAAAGTATGACGGAGAGCACCTGGGAAAACGTCACCACTGCACCGGAGACCTGGCCGAGGGTGCGGTGAATATTGTCCTGTCACGGCAGTAGCGGTTCACTCCTACTGTGTGATGAGGGCAGTACTCACTGCACCTTCACTGCACCACTCCATCGTCACTACATCACTGCATCTTCTCGGTACCTTCACTGCTTCATTGCATCTTAGTTACACAACTGCATCTTCACTAAATCACTGCACCTTCACTGCAGCACTGCATTTTCACGATACATTCACTGCCCTACCTACATAAAAATTCGGGGACCGCCAATGCTTCGGCCGAATAGTCCATACGTTCGGCGCAAAGTTATTCTGGGTCTTATTGGCCCCCGATTACAATTAGTTTCTGGTCAGAATCTCCTTTCCGACTTGATTGTCGCCTGAAAGCATGAGAAGAGTTGGCCGAGCCGAGTCACATCGAGCTTGCCAGCTGTCCAGAGGCTGCCTTTCAAACCCTGAGCAGAAGCGGACATGAGCGGCTGATTTTCGCGCTCCCCGAGTCCTGGGCGGCACCTGATGCAGAGTCAGGCCCGCATCAAAAATATTTTTTATGGACTGCACCTGCACTGCACCACTGAATCTTCACTGCACCGTCACTGCACCACCGCATCTTTATTGCACCACTGCACCGTGTTGCTCTGAACAATTTCCCTTAGTAGATGTGAGAAACACGCTTGAGAAGCCATGATAATTGTGTTGTAAGCGAAAGCCAAGGTAACTCAAGAGCTTTATTAAACAAGAACGTAACATCCTGGAACAAAATAACACTACTATAAAACAGGAAAAACGGCAACGTAAAGGGAATATATTCATGTATGAAGGCCTTACAGATAAAGAAACTATTTACAGATTACTTACAAGGAGAACAGTAGGTAGTTGTAGGTCTTGAACGTACAAGAGCCGAGTCAATGCTAACAATGGTCACTAGTTCTAGAGCGAAGTAACTTACTCGTAGGAACTATAGTACGGAATACTATGTACATGTGGGTGATATAACAGAAATTTCATGACAAATTGTGTGCCGTTTCCCTTGACATTTAAAATAATTTTCTTATCATCAGTAATGATTAATGAGCCTCCAAGTCTCAAATGGTTTAGTGGCTACGTTAGCCAGGTATCCTACAGGTCATAGGATATCTTAGGATATTTTAGGATATCTAGTTTTCACTCAAGAAGTCCATGTTCACCTTCCGGCATAGGACGGTCTTTTTATGGTGAAAAATTTCTTCATTATTTTCTTTTAATTTAAATTCGGAAAAACTTCATGCTTTTTGTGAGTTCAACAGTGAGTGTATGCAGCGACGGATCGGAAAAATGTTATTTTATTCTTCGAAATTTTTATGTAGTCTTAAACATTGGTTTTTGTTATTAGCAAATGCTCAAAATATGATGCGATTATTATTATTGGTTTCCTTAATGTAAATTTGGATTCATTTTCAGCAGCGGCATCTTTTTAAATTTTCGCAGTCGGAATTAGAATTTTATTCAATCGTATATTCGGAAAAGTGAATTGCAATTTCATGGCAGAATTCAGGTGCCTAATGGGAAGTGAAGGCGTCTAATATAAGGTGCCTAATCCAATTGGAATGGGAACTTTAGTTCAAAGTTGCAGTGAACTTTGCGAGGTTCGGACGAGTTTGGAATGCGTTAAAGTTGAACACATGCATGTTGAAAAGTTGAACTGACGTCAGTTGAATACATCATAGTTGAACACATGCAATTTTCGTCGTGTAATCTTTAAAATAATTGTCATTTGTCGATATTTAAAAGAATTATGTATGAAATTTGGTGAAGTTAACATTTGGTTTACGCATTTTGTTGGTAATTTGATGTATGTTACATCATCACTCATCATTCCCCATCATCACCCAGAATCACCACATCATCACCCATCATCACCCAGTATGGATGATAAAGTTCTAAAGTTGCCCAACTTGCCGGCATCTCAAGACGAAGTTCGCCTAAACTTCGCCGCTCAAATATTGGCAAAAATCAACCCAAGTTCTCTTGGGTTGAAAAAGTTTGAGCTCGCAAGAGGGCCGATTGTGTTGTGTTGTGTAGCCTGTGTGTTGTGTAGTCTGTGTGTTGTGTAGTCTGTGTGTTGTGTAGCTTGTGTGTTGTGTAGCCTGTGTGTTGTNTCATCACCCAGTATCACCCCATCATCACCCAGTATCACCCCATCATCACCCAGTATCACCCCATCATCACCCAGTATCACCCCATCATCACTCAGTATCACCCCATCATCAAACAGCATCACCCCTGCAACATCACTCAGCATCACCCCATCATCACCCATCATCACCCCATCATCACCCAGTATGGATGATAAAGTTCCAAAGTTGCACAACTTGCCGGCATCTCAAGACGAAGTTCGCCTAAACTTCGCCGCTCAGATATTGGCAAAAATCAACTCAAGTTCTCTTGGGTTGAAAAAGTTTGAGCTCGCAAGAGGGCCGATTGTGTTGTGCTGTGTAGCCTATGTGCTGTGTAGCCTGTGTGCTGTGTAGCCTGTGTGTTGTGTAGCCTGTGTGTTGTATTGCCTGTGTGTTGTGTAGCCTGTGTGTTGTGTAGCCTGTGTGTTGTATTGCCTGTGTGTTGTGTAGCCTGTGTGTTGTGTAGCCTGTGTGTTGTGTAGTCACTATATGCCTATACCTGCCATATAGGCCTATACCTGCACTATATGCCTATACCTGCACTATAGGCCTATACCTGCCATATAGGCCTATACCTGCTCTATAGGCCTATACCTGCTCTATAGGCCTATACCTCCACTATAGGCCTATACCTGCCATATAGGCCTATAACTGCCATATAGGCCTATACCTGCTCTATAGGCCTATACCTGCACTATTAAAAGACAATTCTGAAGCGGTTCAACCGACCCACATAAAATTCATACATCCACTGCACAGTTGAGAAATTAATGAATTTTTTAAGATGCTGTTCTCTAATGAATCATGAATAATATTCCCGGGAAACCGAATTAAAAAACTAATGAATTGCCAAAGAATTTAAAAGCTGAGAAAACGTCTAGTAAATTCATTATACCCTCATTTTAAAATTTTTGGAGACCAGCGCCATAATTAATTAAAAATATATATAGAGTACAGGTACAATCAGCAATGAAATCAAATTATACACGAAAGATATTAAAACTTAAGTAATAAGAAAACGAGAACGGTACATAAAATCTAATGATTTACATTTCAAGAGTATAAGAACTGTACGCATTATTAAGACAAGGTCCTTATCTTCTTAGCTTGATTGTAATTTAATTCTTTACATTTTAGGGAGGTGAATGAATTTTTTAATTTAGGTGACATTCATTGTTGAATCATGATAGTTTTTAACGGAAAATCAATTTTCAAAAGGCTTAACTCAATCCCTTTGTATGCAAACGACCATTGCCCTGTTTGAATTGAATGAATTGCCCGGTTTGAACTGTTTGGCCCAGTTTGAACTGAATGGCCCAGTTTGAACTGAATGGCCCAGTTTGAACTGAATGGCCCAGTTTGAACTGAATGGCCCAGTTTAACTGAATGGACCAGTTTTAACTGAATGGCCCAGTTTAACTGAATGGACCAGTTTTAACTGAATGGCCCAGTTTGAAGTGAATGGCCCAGTTTGATTGGCCCCTCAAGTCGAAGAATTCATCAATTTTTCCACTGGAAACAGGTTGAGTGAATTTCAGAGGTTCAGTAAATTCAGAAGAGAGTTTTCTTGTAATAACTTCCATGATTCAACACTGAATATCAGTGAATGTGAAGAATTCATCAAGACTAAACATTCATTTGATTCACCAGACAGACATTGACTGTTTAGATTTCAAAGCCGCCAATTAAGCCGTTTCAGTGCTTCAATAATAAAACTGCTCGCTCCTCATTTGAGAATTGGAAAGCCCTTTTGAGAAATGGTTTTATGTTAATAACTTCCATGATTCGACACATTATATCGCTTAATTCGACGAATTCATTATCTTTCCAACATTGCAATGCTTGTATGATTTTAATGGGTGTCAGTTCAACCGTTTATGAATTGTATTTTCCGGGAATAAGTTTCATGCTACCGGTAACATCAAATTTGTAATAAGTGCTCGGATTCTATAATGTTGTCACGAAAACACGTTTTTTGTCATAATGAAATCAAATATTTTTTGTATTTACATGCCTTTATTGGAAGCAATAAGGCCGTAAAGCTAGGTTATATACTAACTGGATTCACTTAAATAATAATTAAATATCAATTAGGTTCGATTTTTTTACTAGTCTTCCCAAGACTTGGACTTTGCGGTTCTTCCTCTGTAACTGCAGCTGAATCTGTACATCAGATGTACAGCTGCAGTCTACCTCTACAACTGCAGCTGAGTCTGTACATTCTGTCTCTTATACACATCTAGATGTGTATAAGAGACAGCTGTTGCGTCGCTGGTGTTGCGTCGCTGCTGTTGCGTCACCACTGTTGCGTCGTCTCTGTTTCGTCACCGCTGTTGCGTCGTCGCTGTTGCGTCGCTGCTGTTGCGTCGCTGCTGTTAATTGCGTCGTCGCTGTTGCGTCGCCGCTGTTGCGTCGCCGCTGTTGCGTCGCCCAAACTTCAATCCGCTGATGAAGTCTGCGCGACAATGCCGGTTCCCGATTCCATTTCGGGATTGGAAATTGTGGGAATGAGGTTTGGGACGCGAGTGGGAATAGGGAATGGTTGAGTGGACGCCGGTTGAGTGTTTGAGTTGAGAGGCTGTCGTATTTGTATTAACAGCAAATAGGCAAACTGGAATGGGGCATTTATTGCAAATGGACAATATGGAATGGGGCCCTTCTAACTAATAGGCAAACTGGAATGGGCACATTTATCAAATATGCAAAACTGGAATAGGCATATTTATTAAATAGGCAAACAGGAAGAGGGCACTTCTAGCAAATTGGCATGCTCGTATTGTACATTTATAGCTAAAAGGTCATTCTGAACTGAACACACTTATAAAATTTTTCAACTGAAAATTGGCACTTCTTCATAAAATCAAATTAAGCTTTATGGACAAAAATCTAGATGATAACGCTGGATAAATTCATGTTAATAACATAATGTTTGGCTCTCAATAAGTTTATGTTGAAAACATAATTTTGGCTCTGAATAAAATCATGTAGACAACATTGTTTGGCGCTGAATAAATTCATGTTGATACCACCATGTGTCGGTGAAGCGTGGGTCAAACGTTCGGGTTGAATATATAGTTGGAACGTTTGTTGTGGACGTTCCGTTTGAACGTTTAATGTTAATGTTCATAGGGAAAGTTTTACAGGACGTTTAAGGTGACGTGGGGTGAACGTTTACTGTTAAATTTCAGCGTGAAATTATAACGCAAATGAAAAACCCGGTGAATATCTTTCTAAGCAAGAAATATAGTTGTATGGCAGTCATGTATTTGTCTTAATAATTAATTTTTATTGTATTAATGAAAATTATTTTTTTTTCAGGAACGGCGAGCTTGCTTCAGTTGTCAAAAGTTGCACACCAACACAAGGGCGGATTGAGTGGCGCAAAGTAGTGAATAAACCTAGCTAAATCCAGCCAAGATTAGCAGCTAAATCCAGCCAAGATTAGCAGCCAAATCCAGCCAAGATTAGCAGCCAAATCCAGCCAAGATTAGCAGCCAAATCCAGCCAAGATTAGCAGCCAAATCCAGCCGAGATTAGCGGCCAAATCCAGCCAATAAACGGATTTCAACAGCAAAAATTGACATTTGTCAACAACCAAAATCAGCGGGCGTCACTTATCGAAATCGAAGTATATCAACAGCCTAAATAAACAGATGTCAACAGCCAAAATAAGTGGATTTAAACAGTCATTATCAATGGATTTCAACAGTTAAAATCAACATACATCAACAGTCAAAATCACCTGATGGCAGCATCTAAAATCAACATGTAAAGTCTACGACTATCAACAGTCAAATTCAAGGACGGATATCAACATTGAAATTCAACAGATGTGAGCAGTCAAAATGAGCGGATGTCAACAAAATGTCAACGGATACTGCCGTTATTCAGGGTCATCTTTTTCAGTGTTTATCGTACAATGTATTCACTCAATGTATTTTATAGATGAATTTAGTTGCATTTTGAAAAAAATCTTTCATTATACACGATAAAATTGTGCGGAACGGATCTAATAGTCGAGCGATAATAGATAATAAGTAATGTTAACTGTCGTTCTATATGAGTATTTATAGTATAATAAATACTAACCATACTAATAATGATAATACTAATAACCTAATGATCATCTAACTACCATTACCATGGTATGACTTAGGACCATCGATCATATGATGCTTCGATGCTTTATAATATAGAAATGTTTACATACAATACTCTTAGTTAGGGATAAATACCATTCTATTAGTTAAGAATAAATACCATATTATTAGTTAAGAATAAAAACAGTAATATTAGTTAGGAATAAATACCATAATATTAGTTAAGAATAAATACCATATTATTAGTTAAGAATAAAAACAGTATTATTAGTTAAGAATAAATACCATAATATTAGTTAAGAATAAATACCATATTATTAGTTAAGAATAAAAACAGTATTATTAGTTAAGAATAAATACCATAATATTAGTTAAGAATAAATACCATATTATTAGTTAAGAATAAAAACAGTATTATTAGTTAAGAATAAATACCATAATATTAGTTAAGAATAAATACCATATTATTAGTTAAGAATAAAAACAGTATTATTAGTTAAGAATAAATACCATAATATTAGTTAAGAATAAATACCATATTATTAGTTAAGAATAAAAACANTGCACGTGGTGCACGTGGTGCACGTGGTGCACGTGGTGCGTGGTGCGTGGTGCACGTGGTGCGTGGTGCACGTGG